ATGAATCTTGTTCCAAAGCTTTTATATATTCTTAGAGGATTACCAATATATATTCCCAAATTTTACTCCCAAAAAAACAATTTTACTCCCAAAAAAACAAATCTTTGGTGGTACAAAGCCACCAAAAATATCACTACATAAAATGCAACTTCCAACTAAGGAAGGTGGCTTTGGTCTCCCAAATCTGGAACTATATCACTAGGCCTACCTGCTGAGTAAGACTAGTGATTGGAGAGCTAGCAGGAATCCCAATTGGGCTACTTTCGAATATAGTTTCTTTGAACCTCTTGTAGGGTGAGCTAAACTCGGCCCCAATTTTATGAAACATCCTATTATCCTGGAGACTATTAAAGCACCTATAAAAATTTGGATGAATATAAATAAAAATAATAAGGATGACCCCTTTCAGCATGAGAAATTAACAATATGGGCCAACCCAAAATAAAAAAATGGAAATCAAGTACCGTATTTTTTGCTCCATAGGACGCGCACCCCCCAAAAAAGTAAGGGGAAATGTCTGTGCGTCTTAGGGAGCGAAGCCAGAAAGAGCCGCTGCTGCTGACACGCTCTGCGCAGCTCTCCCTTTAAAGCTTTACAGCAAGGCAGGAGGAGGGATGGACAGGGCTGCCGTCCGGCTCATTGTAAGGCCAGCAAGAACCGCTGCTGGTTAGCTGAGCCGGGGAGGAGGGAGTGAAGGGGATTCCATCCATCCCTCCCTCCTCCGTGGCTTGCTTTGAAGCAGGAAAGTGGGAGGGGAGCCGCTTATACCCTTATACCCTCCTCATTTGAAGCAGGGTGTGGGGGTGCAGTGGGGAAAGAGGGCAGGAAATAGATGCCGGGCATGAAGACACAACCACACTTTGACCACTGGAAAGTCCACCTCAGCCTCCCCAGATTTCCACTGAGACGGCCAGGCTAATCTCAATGGCCATAAGAGCCAGAAACTTGCATGGGCTTTAATTTAATTAATTTAATTTAATTTTAAATTAAAACCATTTGAACAAATTAAAGATAAAGTGAATTGGTTGCAATATTATCAAATTAATGAATTCTATAAGATGGATAAGAGAAATGGTTTTGCAACAGAAAAAACCAAATATGAAACAGAGTTGTTAGATACTAATGATAAGAATATGTCTAAAATGTACAGTTTGTTGTTGGAGTGGCATACAAAGGATGAAGAAGTTATGATTGATTGGGCAAGGGATGTGGGACATACCGGTAATATAATGATGGAGGACTGAGAGAGGCTATGGAGGAAAGGGGTTAAGTTCACTGCATGTACGATGTTAAAGGAAAATATTATGAAAATGATGTATAGATGGTACTTGACCCCTGTAAAACTAGCAAAGATTTATCACAAAAGTGATAACCTTTGCTGGAAATGTATGGAAAAAAGAAGGTACCTTTTTCCATATGTGGTGGACTTGTCCCAAGGTGAAAGACTTCTGGGAGAAGATTTATAACGAACTGAAAAAAATGTTGAAATATACATTTATTAAGAAACCAGAGGCCTTTCTCCTTGGAATAACAGGTTTAGAATTGTCCATGTTAAATTATTTTTGTATGCCACAACGGCCGCTCAAATATTACTTGCTAAAAATTGGAAAACACAAGAATTACCAACAGTAATTACGGCTGTGTAATTTGGAATTTATGTAATTTGGTTTGATTTGATGTGATTAGTCGGTTAATAAAAAAAACTATTCTTAAAAAAAATATTTAAAAAAATTACCAACAGTGGAAGATTGGCAGATGAAGATGGTGGACTTTTCGGAGCTAGGTGACCTGACTGGAAGAATCCATGACCAGAAAAAAGAGGAGTTTCAAGAGGACTGGAGGAAATTCAAGGACTATTTGAACAAATATTGTGATATAAAAAATTAGAAATTACTTGAAAGAAACAAATAGGCCTAGGACAAATTAAGTTATAATTAATAATTCTTTTTTTTTTTTGTCCTTTTCTGTTTTTGTGTATCATTTTGCTTTGTGGTTTGTGTTATTACGGTGGAAAATTTAATAAAAAATTATTTAAAAAGAGAAAGAAACTTGCATGGGCTGCTTCTTTAAAGATGAAAACATGCACACACGTGAAAGAAATCCATCCAGGTTCCTGGGCACAACCGACGCTTAATATTCACACAGGTTACATGGATGGCATTGGCAACTGGAGGAGCAGCATGGTTAAAGAGCAAGTCCTGGTTTCAAGCTTAAGATCAGCTCTTTCGTGGTGGCCTCAAACAATCCTTTGGCTGCAACAGGAATCCCTCCCTCCCTTAATTCAGGATGCTACAGTCTACAGATGCTGTGGCTGCCTGCCCTTTCCCCTGAGCTGTAAAAGCACCTTCAAGAGGGTGATGGGAGGTGACACAGTCATCTTCCAGATGTGCAAAGAACCACCCTCGCCAAACTAAACGTGACAGCAAGTCTCACACCCAGATCTGAAGCATAAATGGGAACCTAGGAAGCTGCCTTATAAGGAGTCAGACCCACTACTCCATCTAGCTTAGTAATGTCAACACTGACTGGCAGCAGTTTGCCAGAGTTTCAGGCCTGGAGAAGCCGGGGATTGAACGTGTGGTGTTCTGCATGCAAAGCCACTGAGGTTACAGCTGTTCCCTTTAAAAACAAACTAAGATAGTAGTCCTCGTGGATCTGAGGAAAGGGCTAATTTAAAAAGGAACAGAGGGACCTTCCCTGTACCACGTCAGGACCCCTGAGCTCATTTAGCTCAGTTTTGTCTTCACTGACGGGCAGAGGCTCACCAGGGTTTCAGGAGACACACCCTCAGCCCTACCCAGAGAATCTTTCAAGGACTGGACTTGGGATGGGATCTTCTCCATGCTCTCCCCATTGAGCTATGATGGCTCCCTCCCTTCTCCTCCCCTCCTCCTCTGCAGGAGGCCTATCTCCTCATGCCATTATAATGAATATATGTCAAGGGCTTTGAGATGCATATAACGTCAAGCTCAGCATTATTAACAGGACTTAGATAAGCCATGATTCCCCTTCCTTCCCTCCTCTGAGGCGCGCTTTAAAGCAGCAAAGTGGACAGGAGCCACCTGCTTTGCTGCTTTAAATAGTTTAGTACAACATTTGATTCAGAATAATTTTTTTCGTGTTTTCCTCCTCTAAAAACTAGGTGCGCCTTATGGTCAGGTGCGCCCTATGGAGCGAAAAATAGGGTAATAATTTGGCAAAATTGGATGAAAAAAGGTATTTTGACATTGAATCAATTAATTGATGAAAATTACAAATTTGTGGAACATAAGACTTTGCAAGTAAAGTATGGATTAACCAGTGAAAAACAATGGCAATACATCCAATCGAAACATATGTTGGAAAGGGAGTTTGGCCCTGAGGCTATAGCAGCATCGGAAACACCCTTGCTGCTACAAGATTTAATTTCTGCAACAAAAGCAAAGAGCTCTGCACTTGCACTATATAAAACCCTACTCAACAGAAAGGAATATGATTTAGAATATGATAGACAAAAACGGAGTGAAGAGTTAGGAGTACAGATAACAAATGATATATGGGAGTCAAGTATAAAATCAACAGAAATAGCTTCTATGGATTTAAGACTAAGACTTATTCAGCAGAAAATAATATTCAGAGTCCATTGGACTCCAGCAAAACTTTACCAGAAGAAAATAACAAACGCGGACAACTGCTGGAGATGTGGAAGTAAAAATGTGAACTTAGTACATATGATGATTAACTGCTGAATGATAACATCATTTTGGTGCGAGGTGAGGATATATATAGCAAGAGTAATAAAAAGAAATTGTTATTTAGGGGATTTGAATTTAATTATAAATTATATACCGGAAATGTGGGAGATTACAAGGGGTCAAAAAAAAATGGATGTATCATGCCATATTAGAAGCAAAAAAACTTGTCTTGATGAATTGGAAGAGCCGCAAAAAGATCCAGTTGAGCACAAGGATTGATAATATGGACAGACTAGTTACCTACGAACTGCATATCGACGCAAATTAAGAATGGATAAATATGAAGAAATCTGGAAAGAATACTTAAGCATTAAGGCGGACAGTGGTGAGAAGTAGGGGGAGGAGAGGTGGGGAAATATTGTTAAAAAGGTGTAGTTATAGGTATATCAGTACTCAAATCTGAATTGTTAAATTGTGTTATTATTGTTATTGTGGTTTTTGTTGCATATGTTTGTTTTGGTTGTTGTTTGTATTGAAAAAATGATTACATAATTTTTTTAAAAAAGAGTAGTTTGGAAGCAATCCCACTTAATGGGATCTTGAAGGGCTTCAGTGTTTATTTTGTGCCTTCCTGGAAGCCTGCGTTGAGGTATAATCTTAGTAGCCATTGCGGACTGTATTAATCAGTGATCTGTCCAGCAGTCGTCGGCACTCATAGCTCTGGTAAGGAACACATCATGGCAATCTTCAGCTTGGACAATTGCATTGTCTAAGAGGTGCCAGTGGTTCAAATCAAATTTTATTAAACGGTCACAGACCAGGTTAACTCGTACAGCTAGTCAGCGAAGCATAACACCGGAAAAAACAAAGGGCAATTTCAATACAGATTAGGCCATAACAGCAATTTGAAATTAGACAGCATAAATAAAATTAAGTATTTGCCTTCGCCTGCATATTGACATTGGAAAGCTCTTGTTTCCTGCGCCTAATAGCGGCTACACAGAATTTGGCAACATTGATCGTAATTTCAGGAACCTTATCTTCTACCAAGGCTCTCATACGTTGGGGTTCTGGTACATTTTTAAGCTTTTGTAGAACTGGGGCAATAAAGGTCAGGCGTAGATCCTCGTAGTAACTACAGTGCAGCAATACATGCAGATTTGTTTCCACTTCCGATGAGCCACATGGGCAGACACGTGACTCATATGGTTTGCCCTATGCAAGATGGCGCCGAGGCAAGTCACGCTCTCCGGCACTCACTTTTATTCTTTTAAAACCTTATCTTAATTGCCCTCCGGATGCCAATTTTTAACAAACGGGAAACATTTTAAAGACTCTGAGCACTTTTATAATTCCTGTTGGCTCTGCGAGCTTCAGCTTGTTCCAGCTTGTCTTCAGCTTGTCCCAGCCTGCTCCCTCCCTCCTTATCAGCTGCCCGGTCAAGGTTGCCAGAGAGGAGAGAACGCTGCTGCCTGAACTGAGAGCAGAGAGAGAAGAGGTCTAAAGACAGAACTGTGAACTGCTTACCCGACCAACGGTGCCTGGAGAAGGAGGGTAAGGAGAGACAGGACTGGGAGCCCCGCTTTGAGACTGGCCCATAGACATCCAGCTCTGCTGAACACATAGAAATATAAAGCTTGGAGATTCGGGGGTTAATTGACCCCCGCCCAGCTGGGGGGCTGTCTGAACTAGCTGGGGACAGCATTCCTGCTTCGCAGCTGAAGAGGAAGTACAGTAGCTGGAAAGACTCTCCATTTTAACAAACTGTTCTGAGGAGACCAGCATTTATACTCTCAGAGACTCCTGGTGAAGGCATCCTGAGTTTTTTACAGTTTTTACAGTTTTTTACAGGAAGATTTTAATCTACACAATAACTCTATAACAGTGTATCGGATAGGACCCTCTGGAGGTTTGGAAAACCTAGATATCGTTCTGTGCCCCGTCTTATGTGGTAGGCCTCTGAAAGACTGCTTAGAAGGAATCAGTGAACCAGCCCACAGAAAGTTTCCCTTCTGGGGCTCCTATATATCCTTCGTACAGTATAGGGCTGTGGGAGATGGCCCCTAAAGACTAAGCTAGGGCCCGAAATACAAGGTTATCATAGCTGTACATGGGCTATAGCCAAACTCCACTATTATCCTTTCCCAGCTGCACATAAATTGCCTAAATAAGGCAATTTTAATTTTAATGTAGTTTTTAGCCGTTTTATTACTGCTGTCTCTTTGGCAGCATTGTTTTGTTTTATTATTATATTCCGACTAGGTTGCAGCATTTGTGAAACAGCGCTGGTCGCATGACTGAGGTGAAAACTACAGGCTTAGGACAATCGCTAAGATCTAAAAGCAGAGAACTCAAAATAGAGAAATATACTGAGGTTGTTGATGAGCACATCAGGAAGCTGCTGCAGAGAGCAGGTGGGAATATAGATTGATACCCCCACTTGCCCCCCAATTTAAGGCAGTTGCACCTGGGGTAAACTGCCCTCTCTCTATATTAAGACAACTTTTACCATGGTTTTTACTAGAAGAACATATAAGGAGTTGGGTATACTGCCTGACTCGGCAATCACCCCCCCGGGCCCTGGTAAAAGACAAAGCAAAATCACAAATTACTTTCCTAAGATGGAGGAGGGTAAGAGTCCACAAAAAGAGTTAATTCTTGATGAAGTAATACCCCCCCTCTACTGTTCTTGATTGGACGTCTTATCCTAAAAGATATATCAAGATACTGGAAATATTAACTCCCCATGCAGCCTAGCGCAAGAACTAGCTTTAGCCGAGGAACTTCAGGAGGGAAATACCTCTATTATTAAGGAACAGCTGCCCACGGAAGAAATTACACCAACCCATCTAAACCAGATATCTATTTCAAAATACTCTCAAACAGAACTGAGTGACGGTCGCCCTTTGGATTATTCCCTAGCAATAAGTACTGATCTAGCCAACATAAAAAATTATCTAACAATAACAAATGGGCTACTGCTGACGTTAGTAGAAAATTTCACACCTCAATTAAAAGAGATAAAATTAAATGATATGCACCAAGAACATAAAACAGTTGAGCTAGTGGGGACGAACAAACCAGTAATAAAATCAAGACATAACTCAAGGGTAAAAGTGAAGAAAAGTAAAAATATCAAAACAACAAGGAAAGCCAAGTATACCCGCAGTAATCGAAGCATACATTGGCAGAAATTGTTCAAACTTCTTCCCTCGGCCCCAAATAAATCGACCACACGGGGCAGCAAAAAGAAGGGAAAAAAGAGAGAAACAAAGATAGTTACACAGCAACCGGCCAAGGAGGACTTGCCAAGGCTGATTCCAGTAGCAAGTGAGAAGGCAGAAGTAACAATTCAGTCCCTGGATAACCAACTATTTAACAAACCTGATGCTGCGGAAGTAGAGGCCTCTACCTATGAAGGCAATAAAACACTTAGCAAATCGAACAGCGAGGAAGAGGAAGCGTTCAGTAGAGATGATACCCCCCTTCAGACCTGGCAAGCCTCCAGTCAGGAAAGAGATTGGAATTTGATCCTAAATCCCCAAAAATTGGTATTCACGAACTTCCCGAAGCCTAAGGGCTTCCTTACAGGGAAACAGCGAATAATGAACTTTGTATCTAGCCTAAATGACATACTGCCAGGAATGGTTAATTCTAATGATATCACCTCGGTGGAATATCTACATTATGATGGTCACTCAGTGAGAGCACTGACCACTTTTAGGGATCAGAACCTGGCCAAGTTTATTTTTAGGTCAAGACTTGCCTTTTTAAAAGCACGGATAACAATACTTAGGCTCTTTGAAAATAAGGCTCCTTTGAGCCCCCTTTTGAAAACCGAGCAGGCAAATCTTAGAAAGGGGAAACAACTCTCAAAATTCTGGCCTGACAAACAGAATCCGCAACGCCTTGTGAGCAAAGGTGAGGATCTCTTTACTATGGAAGAAAATATCCTAATTGACCAATTCTGGATGTTCCCACCATTAATACAAACTGACATCTTGGGAAGACTAGACAAGCTAAGAGATAAGCTGGCCGAGAGAGCTCCAGGCAACGATGTTATTAAGGGAGACCAAAAAAAGACCACAACACGTAACCATCAGATTAAAGCGGAGATTAACTTTCCACCAAGAGAGAATGTGCCACCCTTCAAGGGGAGCACTCCATCACCCCCCCGAAGGAGAAATATCCCTAAGGTGACCCCACCAGACGTATGGGACAAAATGAGATACCTAGATGAAACAGAATTGGGCCAAAATCAGGCCGCAACAGAATATCCTCAGAAGGAATTTATGCATAATAAAGATCCGGTGTTCACAAACGTGAGCACTTTGCATCCACCTATTGAAATAATAGAGCGGCTGGATAGCCCGCCATACAAAGACGATAGGCGACCGATACATAAAGCGACAAACCCTAAAAGTACGTTAGCTAATAATTGACAAAGACTCGACTGTGATAAAGCCAATCTTAAATTTTTATCATGGAACATTGCTGGTTGGCTCAACAAGGCGACTGACCAATCATTTGTCAATTTTATTCAAGATCATGATATAGTCTTATTGCAAGAGACATGGCTAACAGGGGATTTAGATGTAAATGGTTTTGCCTCATTTTCGCTCGCAGGTTCACCAAGCAACAAAGGGGGACGAGTTAAGGGTGGGCTAGGCATTCTAATATCCACAAGGCTGAGAGCATCTTTCGTCGAGCTGGAGCCTCTGAACAGTGTGGCCATGGCATTATTAATGAAATGCAGATATTGCACACTTCTATTGATTAATATATATGCCCCTCCCCAAAGAGGCAAGCAGCTTACCAAAAATATCTGGCATAGGCTAGAATCTTATGTCGATGAGCTAATGAATCAAACTCCTGCAGCGGCAGTGCTGCTGGCTGGGGATTTAAATGCCAGAATTGGCCAATCAGATGAAGCGTTATATGCTCATTTCCATGACGTACCTCCCATTTCTGAAGAAGCCCATTCTATTCCCCCAAGGCTCTCAAAAGACAAGGGCTGCAACTACGCAGGCCTATGCCTTCTACGTTTTTCCAACAATCTGGATCTGACTGTATTAAATGGTCGTGTCGACAGAGAACCCAGTGGGGAATTTACATTTATATCCAACATGGGAGCTTCCACTATCGATTACGTCCTGGTGTCATCTAACCTTTTGAGCAGAGCACGGGAATGTAAAGTGGTGGAGAGGGTTGACAGCGACCATCTACCGCTCTGTCTAATACTGGATGTAAGAAAAGATTTATTTTGCTCTGACAAACTTGTAGCCCCATGTTTCGAAAACATGGAGCTAAGATACTCACGTATTAAAGGGTCCAGCAAATTGAGTGATGAAATATCGGAAAGACTTCACTCAGATACTTTTCTTGCTAGAAAGGAGAACCTCGTGCCAGTGGTTCGACTGAGGGTGCTTCCCTGATTTAAATTTACAGTCGGACCTTGGAAGTTGAACGGAATCTGTTCCGGATGTCCGTTCAACTTCCCAAAATGTTTGAAAACCAAATCGTGGCTTCTGATTGGCTGCAAGAAGCTACTGCTGCCAATCAGAAGCCATGGAAGCCCCGTCGGATGTTTGGGTTCCAAAAGAACATTCACAAACCGGAACAATCACTTTCGGGTTTGCGTCATTGTTGGAGCCAAAATGTACAAGTTCCAGGGCATTCGGAATCCAAGGTACCACTCTGTGTGTGTGTGTGTGTGTGTGTGTGTGTGTGTATATGTCGAAAGTGTGTGTTGCTAATAACAAGGTTGTGCACTACACATATACTCAAAAGAAAGATTCTGTTCTGGTTGCTGTTGCTAACTCCTTCTTTCCCAATAGTCCCAGGCCACAGATCGAAATCTTGCCCAAGTCGTGCATTAAAATCACCCAGGAGGATAATATTATCCTCCTTAGGTGTCTCTGATAGGATGATATCCAGCAGATAGTAAAAATTATCTTTCATGTCTTCATCGTCATCTCGTGTTGGCGCATAAGCACTTAGAATTGTAGCCTGTTGGGTTTTGGTGAGTTTTATTCAAAGTGTTGAAAGTTGTTCATTAATGCCGGTAGGGACTTTTGACAAGAGCTTCACAAGATCGTTTTTGATAGCAAAGCCTACTCCATGTATTCAATGTTCTTGTTCAGCAAGTGAGTGTTTTAGTATCATTATGCTGTCCAAGTCCTGAGACTCGATGAGCATACACAAGAGCTTCTGCAGAAAGATTTGTGTTGGGATTTGAGGACCTGATCCCCGCTTGGGTAAGTAAGACACGTGGACACAGTATATTAGGTTAATGGGCAAGAAAAGGCCACAACTTTATTGATTACAGCATGTGAGAAGGTATTGGCTTAGGCATTGGACCACAGCAAATTTGACTCCACCCACTAGGAGAGGGGTGAGTCTGATGAGGGGTTAACCACCAGTAGGGGGAGCCTGTTGATGCAAATAAAACTATAAGCTCTCCCCTGATGTCACCAAGGGTCATGCCATGGTCCCCCACCACACAGGGCATCGGACAGGATCCACGACTGCCGGATTCCTTTAACGGAATACTCATAAGCGAAGGGGTAGGCGATGGCCACACCTTGCCCTTCCATACACCAACAACACATTCCAATGCCTAACCGCCACCCAAGCCCAAGAGGCTCGCCGGATTGGTGAGGGGGCTGGGAGAACAGTGCTGTCGGCAGTGCTGGAGCGACCCGCAGCCACCCGAGACCTCACTCTAACTAAAGCAAAACGCCAGGAACCCTCCAGATGCCCCACAAAAATTACTAAGGCGAAATAAGAGTACAAATGCAGGTAAAATCACTGGACCCCTTCCTCCAAACCTCACAACTCCAGAATCGGAACAGGAGCTTTCGACTCATTAACTCTTCCATGTGCTTGGCTCAAACAAGACGACGATGAGCAGGAACACTAGACTCGTGGAAAATCTGAAGCTCAATGGTGGGGAGACCTGGCGCGGCCGCATTTGAGTGGCTAAACCATGCCCCTGCGGTGGCCCCTGATTGGGTGCCCAACTGGGAGGCGTGGCACGCCAGCGATGATGAGAGTGCAGGGGGCAGAATGCCCTCTGTATGATGCGGGAATTGTCTCCCCCTCACAATCCCTCCCCTCTGGAAGGAGGAGAGGCTTTACAGGGCTCAGATCTTGGAACAGCCTTTTATAAACATAAAAGAAGTGTCACTGTTTTGATACAGAAGATTTGTAGACATTACTCTTTCAGATATAGCATTATTTCAAGGTTCAATTAAACACTCACCTTCCCGTTACACTCTTTGATTCTGGTGCTACCAGTGTAAGACTCCAAAAGGGGGATTCTGGGAGTTTTGCAGGATAGGACAAGAAGGCACTTAGGCTCTTCAGCATGTACACCAAGGGCTGAGCTAATGAGCTAATGACCCTTCACAATAATTAATATACAATCCAGCACAATTCTGTGTATCTTAACTTATCTTTTAATTACATAATAATGACAGTTTTTCTATTACAGATGCATGATCATAAACATTACAACTGCTTTATATGGACTAGTCAGCTTTGTAATGCTTATCAAATCGTTCTGAAAGAGCTCTTAATATATTTCCTGGCCTTTTTTGGTGTTTATCCCGAAGATTTTCAATTGCAGTCTTTGTCTGTTGAAAGAAGAACAAAGGAATATTGTATTATATCAATATATTGCAAAATGGATATTCACAGTTATTCATATCTGTGGGGAAATGCTAAAGGGATCAGAACCATTAGAATAAAGAATCCCATTTTTTTCCAGTTACAGATTTTTTTTTTTACCAAGAGAACTGTATCAGAATGGCAGAGATACAACCAAACATAAGTGCCTTGGGCTGCTTGGTACGTATCAGTTTTCCTGCATGGTTGTTCCCTCCAGCTATGTGAGGAAAACGGCAGAAATGCTATTGAGTTATATTTCACTATGCTCAGTGCTATTTTTCTAGAAAAAGAGGTGCCTGAACTCACTATGAACACCTCCCTCATTCTCTTAGAATGGCAATGGCTGACAGGGCTAGTGAGAAAAAATAGTCACCTCCTGGTTCCTTGCCTGAAAACAGCACAGCAGGGCATAGGTAAAATAGTAGAGTAGAATGGAGTCACATTCACGTGCAGAGTTGCAATAAATCAAACAAACATCAGAAGTTCTTCAGTAATAGTTTTATTGAGGATTAGGAGCGTACAGTGCTTACTGGGTTCCCTAGTGGGGAGGGGGCTTGGAAGAACCCTCTGGGGCAGATTCTGGGGCATAGGGTGGGCAGAAAAAGTCCTATTGCATGAGCAGATCTTTGTGCAGCACTACATAAAATGCATAGGTTTTTCGTGGTCTCAACAGGTTCCAGTAGGCAGAAACCATTTTATAGAAATGAAAAAGAGAAAACAACGGGGGGGGGGGGAATCCTGCTTTTTTACTTGCAGGTATAGAGTTAACTTACTTTTTCAGCCAGCTCTGCAGCTGTTATATTTGGATCATATGGGATGGGTTCTCCAATATATGTCCTCAGTTTCACTGGAAATCCTCCATATACGGGAAGGTAGATAAGTCTTGTTTTCTCATATAACCACCTTGTCAACCCTATGTATGAAAGGGGAAAGTGTCTGTAAGAAAGCAATCCCATATCAAATTTGAAATTAGTTGGCATTCTGAGTTTTTAGCAATTCCAGTCAATCCATCCCAGAGAGGAAGCGTTAAATAGTATGAGTCCTTTGGAAAAGAAAAAGCAGCATATTCTGTCAGCTCTTCTCTTCTCTTTAAAAATCAAGGTCATAAGTTGTAAAATAGACTGCAGAATACGGTTTTTTCCCCTGCTCAGTTCCCCTCCATGTTGGGGTTCCTACCACTTTTATAGATTATAGCTATCTTTTAAATCTAAGAAAAAACTAAGCAAGGACATGTTCACTCAGTCCTGAGACAGGCAGCAAAACAGTGTACACTGAATAAACTCTACTAGAAAGTAGTAAAAAGATATTCTGTTTCTAAAAATATATATATTATTATAAAATGTTTATTGCCTGAAAGCAGATTTTTGATCAACCAAAATACTCACTTGACTTTCCAATGTTCCTGTATGCTTCACAAATGTTTTGTGTAAATATAGGGATGATGGGCTAAAAGAATAAAATCAAAAATCTAAATCAAAAGGTAGCTGAGAACTGGAGAATTACTTCACCCCACCCGCTCCACCTTTATTTTGGCTAAGGACTAGGAATAATGCTCCGCATCTGGTATTGCAATGACAAGCTTGACGTAATTGACTTCAAATTGCACATGCTGTCCCCCAGATTTTCAAGAATTGAAGAGAAAAAAGCCATTTTTCTTTTTAAATGTAATTGATTTTAATAGCTTTTTTTTTAAAAAAAAAAAAAAGAGCAGTGGTGGGAAATACAGATATCATTTGACCCCCAAACAGGGGATTTGCCATCCTCAACTACTTAGGATGCTAGATCAAGGATATCAACACATTACGTCTTATCTAGGATAATCCTGAAGGCAATGCAAATTGCACAAAGATCACTCACCACTTTTGCCTCCAAAGCTATCTGAGCGAAACCTGTGCGGTTACCCCACATTATGTTGTAGTCAGTACCGAAGTTTCCTTCTCTACCTCCGCCAGGGGCAATGCCCAGTGAATGGCCTTTCTTCAAAATTTCCACACATTCAGCTTTATTGAAATCTTTCAACCCGGCCGCATCTAAAGCCGTCTTCCACCCTGACAAAATAAGACCCAAATAGAAGAAGAGTGTGTCAGTGTTTGTAAAAAGAAAAAAGAAAGAAAGAAAGAAAAAAGGAGAAAAAAGGAAAGGGTTCTGACCTCCCTTTGTCTCTTCAGCCTGGTCCTCAGACCCTTGTCTGCATAAAAGAGTCCACGAGAATATCCTTGCAGAGTTTTATTCTTAAAAGTCTTCGTGCAAAACACAACTGAATAACAATACACACCAGCACCAACCCAAACCCCAGCCTCAGCAACAAACTAACATTTCTCACTTATATATACAACTTGGTGCAGACCGCTGAGTCATGCTGACCCAGCTTTATTCGCATTAAAGAAACAGCGGCCATTTTAGCCGTGACACCCCTTCTGTTTCTTAAATGCGAAAAACCCCAACAGAAACAATACATACATACATTATATACATAAACCCAGTTTTGTCATCAATTCATTATGACATGTTGCTGGCAAAGGCTTGGTAAACAAATCAGCAATATTATCTTGTGATTGACAATACTCCAGTTTGATTACCCCATTCTGTACACAATCTCTCACATTCGCATGACGGATAGCAATATGTTTTGATGTGGATTTCATTATTTCCGAGCCCGCTAATGCAATGCACGATTGGCTGTCTTCATACACTTGGATAGGCAAATCTACTTTACAATCTAGATCTTTTAGTATCTGTATAAACCATATGATTTCATTGCATGCTAGCGACAGGCTCCCATATTCTGCCTCACAGGATGAGGTCGCAACAAATCCTTGTTTCTTTGACCTCCATCCAATTATGGAATTGGCAAACATCCTAACCATTCCACTTGTAGATTTTCTGATAGCTACACAGCTTCCCCAGTCCGCATCAACAAACACTTCTAGTTTTTCGTCTTGTGTACTAGATATCTTTAAACATACATTTAATGTCCCTTTTAGATATCTGATAAGCCTTTTCAAAGCACACCAATCAGCAGTACTGGGTTTAGATACACGTTGACTCAGAACATTTGTAGCACATGCAATGTCTGGCCTTGACCACTGGCTTAAATACAACAGTGATCCTATTTTTGAGTGATACAACTCAGGCTAATCAAATTCATCATCACACACTGTCTTTGGGAAATCTGGAGTCATGGGAGTCTGAACTGGCTTGCAGTTTTCCATGCCAAACTGCTCTATCAAATGAAAAATTGTCTCTTTCTGGCTCAATAGGAAGCTTCCATCAGCTTCCTGCTTTCCTTCTACTCCCAAGTAATTGCTTACAGGCCCTAAGGCTTTAAGCTTAAACCTCTTTTCCAGTTGACTTGTGAGCTTCTGGATCTCATCTGTGGAACTCCCTACTACAAGCAAATCATCAACAAACACTAAGAGCATTAGATATTTGTTGCCTGTCCCCTTGGTGTACAGACATGGATCAGCCACACTCCTTTTAAAACCAAGTTTTACAAGGGCTTCATTTAAACACTGGTTCCAACACCTTCCACTTTGTTTGAGACCATAAACAGCCTTTTTCAAATGCCAGACTGCACCATTCTCCTCTTCAAACCCAGGGGGTTGTCTCATTAACACTTCATGGTCTAAATTTGCATACAGATATGCAGCATCAACATCAAAATGGTGCACTGCTAGTTGTCTTACAGGAGCAATGGAAAGCATTAAACGAAAAGTTTCACTCTTTACAGTGGGAGAAAACACTTCATCATAACTCTCCCCTTTAATCTGAGTGAACCCTCTGGCTACTAATCTGGCTCAAAAACGTGGTTCCCCAGATGCAAGGGTTTTTCTTTTATAAACCCACTTGCATGACACCACTCTGCCACCAGGTGGCGGCATTATGACCTCAAACACTTTGTTACGTTTAAAAGAGTCCATTTCTTCTTTCATAGCTTGTTCCCAAAAAGCACGTTCTTCAGGGGGTAAGTCTAAGACTTCATTATAACTTTGTGGTTCCACTCAACTCACATTGCATACTCTCACTCCTCCTAGGGTCAAACGCTGAGGAGGTACACCCTTATTTGAACGCTGAGAGCACCTAGGCACAACTACTACTTCTTCCCCCTTATCTCTGGCTCTTCTTCCTCTTCCTCTAGAGAAGTAGTATTATCTATTGCCACATCCTTTGGGGAAATCTGTGCCTCCTCGTCATCCTGCTCCTGCGTTGCCAATGGGTGAGAAGAAGCCTCATCTCTTACTTGCAGGGGCAGTAGGCAATCTGGGTTGGCATGGATCACAGTCCATCTGTCCTGGTCAGCAAAGTTTGCGTTTCATGAGAGAACCACACGTCCTGGGCGTAAATTGAAACGCCACCCTTTGCCATAGGACTGATACCCCACAAACCGCAGTTTCTGCGCTCTAGCGCCCCCTTTCTGGTGCTGAGCTTTGGGAATATTTACATGTGCCCAAGAAGCCCAGTTATGGAGCATTGTCCACTCTGGTTCTTTCCCAAGCAACACACGATATGGAATATCTTTTATAGAGCTAGACCAGGGTCTATTAATCAAAAAGTTCGCTGTCCGAAAAGCCTCGCCCCACAGCCTATGGTTGTGGCCCAATCCTGCATCCACTAGCAGGCAGTCCTTTACTGACTGTATTACAGCCCCACGTCTTTCACACAGACCATTTTCAGCAGGGCTATAAGGGTTAGTCAAGCGGTGAGTGATCCCCTTACGTCGCAACCATGCCCCAAATTGTTTTTTCAGAAATTCTCCGTCCCTATCTGTTTGCAACTGCACAACAGGGCGAGCGAAGAGCTTTTCAGCTTGGGCAACCCATTCTCTCAATGTGGGGAAACACTCAGATTTCTGCTTTAACAAAAACAACCAACTAAAACGTGATTTATCATCTATTACCAGAAAAGCATATCTGGCGCCCCCTTCAGTCTTCTGTGGGAAAGGGCCTATCACGTCACAATGGACAAGTTCTAAAACCTCTTTAGATACTCTGTCGCTTTTAGAAGCCACAGGCTTCCTCTTAGATTTGGCCATTTTACATACATTGCAATCTAGGAAACAGTTACAGCTATTTACTTTTAGGTTCTTGCACACCTTTTGCACCTCTGAAAGCACACGGAAATTGGCATGACCCAGTTTTCTGTGCTGTTCATGTACACACCCCTGATGAACTGGCAAATTATCCTGAACCACCTGGGTTGCTTTAACAGGCTTGTCCTGTATTACATATAACCCATTTGCATAGCCACATACCTGAGTTCCATTCTTTATCAGACAGCCATCCTGCGTGAACTTAACACTATACCCTGCATTAATCAAACAGCTTACAGACAGTAAACAATAGTCCAAACTGCTGACAAACAGAGTCTCTGGTAGAGTAGTGTTCAAGTCCTGTCTCAAAACCTCAGTTTCAACACAGTCCATAGTCCATCTCTCCTTAACAACTGTCGCATTTTAATTGACCAACTCAGCCAGTTGCTCTCTGAGAGTTCAAATGGGATGCCTCCCCCACTGGCTCCATACACTACCAGGACTCACCAACTCCCTGCTCAGATGCTGTCAGTCGTTTTACACTCTGCGCATGCTCAGAAACACTGGGCCCATAACCTGCCAGTGTTTGTAAAAAGCAAAAAAAAAAAAAAAAAAGGAAAGGGTTCTGACCTCCCTTTGTTTCTTCAGCCTGGTCCTCAGACCCTTGTCTTCATAAAAGAGTCCACGAGAATATCCTTGCAGAGTTTTATTCTTAAAAGTCTTTGTGCAACACACAACTGAATAACTATACACACCAGCACCAACCAACCCAAACACCAGCCTCAGCAACAAACTAACATTTCTCACTTATATATACAACTTGGTCAGACTGCTGAGTCATGCTGACCCAGCTTTATTCGCATTAAAGAAACAGCGGCCATTTTAGCCGTGACAGAGTGTGGATACAAGTGTCCAAAGATATTGCACTATTATGGATCACAAGCATAGCCCTCTGCCAATCCATTTCAACTAGGATTTCACGGAGGGGGACTTTATGGGACATTCAAGTTTGCATTATGATAAAAATACAATCCACAGTGCTTGCTGCACCACCCAAATCCCTTTAGGCTGCAGAGCTTTTGGATATAGTATACACACACACACAGAGAGAGAGATACACACATGGCACAGGGGAGGCTATGCTGGTGCAAAATAGCAGAGATTCATCCACAGAAATATGGGTGAAGAATATATGCTGCATTAATTAACCAGTGGAATACCCCCAAAGAGTACACTTTGGGCTCGGTCCTTCCTTCCTTCCATGACCTTTCTGTGGTGTCATCAGAGGAAGATGATGTGGGGTGTGTGGCAGTGGAGGGCCATGAACACTACAACAAGGGTGCCACATGTGTTTGATTGCAGTGTCACATGGGGGCATAAAAGCTGTGTGTGGGAGTGCTTGATTGGCCATTAGCTCCCACCCCATCCCAGCATGCCACAGAGGATTTTGCACAGGTGGTTTGCTAGTGCAGATGCACTAGGAAACACTATGGAAACATAGCCTGATTCAGGACTTCCGGGTTAGCGCCTCCGGCAATGGCGATTTCCTCTGATCGGGAGGAATCCGCTTCATGGAAATGAGGGTCTGGACCGCCACGGCAAGGCGGAGACCCATTAAAAACCACAGGCGGGAGAAGCCTGTGGATGTGGGATTCGGCTGGCACCTTTTGCGCCTCCCCTACTCGCGGGGAAACCCGGTTTTGGGGATCCAGAGCGACGTGGGGTGAGCGGCGCGGTGCTTTGAATTGACTGCTTTTTTCACGGAGTGAAGCCGCATTGCTGTTGCCAGAGAGCGCTGACTTTTTCCTGTGGACAATTGAACTTTAAACAACTACCCGTGAGTAGAACGGAAAACTGGATTACTAAACATTTTTAATTTGGCACCGAAGCGGGAAGGATCCAAACAGGAAGTCCGCCTTCCGCTTTTGTAAATAGATTGAAGCAAAGACATGGCAAGCTAAAGTCTGGAAAGTCTTTTATAAAGGATTAAATTTCCATTGGCTGAAATCACTAAACCCC